AGAGATCCAAAAAGGACTGGAACAATGCTACCCTATATCTAATCTGAACAAGAGGTACAAATGTTTAATTACAAACACCACAACTTAGGAAGATGCCCTAACCTATACCCTCAAGTTTAGATACAGGAAAGTCAACCTCCTCTTACTGCTAGGGTGGCATGGAACATAAAGATCTCCTTGACTCAGCACAAATAACTAATTATGGCTTCTTATCTAAAATGCAAGGTGTTGAGGGGAAGTATCAGTGAATCATCCTTCAAACTGTTTACTACCTCCCCTTGTCAAAGATATATGAAGATAACAATACAAGTTTAAGGACACTGTAATGTCATTCAACTAATGCTCTCACAATTGGCAACGCTTGAAAAAAGCACATCAGCTCTATTTAGCAAGAGAACATCTTTGAAACTATGACATAAGAAGCCATTTCTCTAACAGCACACATCTTTGGCATTAGCAAAATCTTTATTTAATTTGTTAATGGCTCTGGTTTTAGCCAATTGTTTATAAAGCAGAGAACACATTTCTATTTCTAGTAAGGCTGATTAAGGGTCCCTTAGATCTAAAATTCTTTAAATTGATCGCTGCATCAACAGCTAATGACATCATCTATTTTTTCCTAGGGAATTTCCATTTCAAGTTTAAGCAAGTCTTTCTATATCCCCACTTTTAAAGGTGAAAAAAGGCAAATGACTGAATGTAGTATTCCAGCAAAACTCAAGAGTCATGAAATAAACACACCACGACTTAAAGACAACCAGATGAAAATACAAAAGCACACTAGGAAATACAAAATGTAATCCACACCCTCCTGTCTTTACTGCTCTTTTCTCTGCCAATCAATACAAATACCCATCTTTGTAAGAAAACCTAATAGACTCAACAACATCAAAATAGCATAATCTGTAAAGCAGGGATAGGTGCAGTTATTCAACAACTATATACTGAGAAATCACTATCTACTAAGGGCCATTTAAAGCAGTGAAGAGACAGTAAGTGAACAAAAAAGTCAAAAATTCCTAGCTTTGCAGAGCTTACAGTTTAGTAATAAAGACAAGAAAATCAATGCACATCTGCAATACAGAATGGACAAATAAGAATAAATATTATGGGGGTCAATGAAGTCAGAAAGTACCACAGAAGTGGGCCTTCTCTGGTGGGGCAGGCGGTTGAGCGCCGCGCCGTGAAGCTGTCCGCAGCCTCTGCAGTGCCAGTTCCATCCCAGCCAGCCAGCAAGGGTCCCATATGGCACGGCAGACCTCTCCTGTCTCGCCCGCTGCTCCCCTCAGCAGTGTATTTCGTCAGTCTGCCTGTTCTGTTCCCTGCTCTGTCTCTGGTGAATCCTCTCATCCTCCCACGCATCTGGACTGTACCCTGGTTCTTGTGTAAATGAATAAATAAATCTTTAAAAAAAAAAAAGTACCACAGAAGTGGGGACAGTTTAACTATGATGATCATAAGAGGAACCAATAGATCTGACATCTGAATAAAAAGCTAAAAAAAAAAAAAAAAAAAAAATAGCCAAACATCTGAACATCCAGAGAAGGGTTCTGGAGCTAAACAGTCTCCAAAGCAGGCAGGTGGAGGACGGTAAGAGATGAATGTCACAGACAGTTTAGAAAAATATTATATAAAGAAGAACTTAATTCTTCTCCATAATGTCTCAGAAATAAGATATATATGCCAATAATATTTGGTATGTAAGTTCTTATATTTAATATAGTATAAACATATGCATGGTGGTGATAACTGGGGGGAAAGGGGGAGGTGCTAATGTTTCCTCAACTGAAAAGTGAATTTATTAAAAACTTTTTAGGGGCCTGTCTGGTGGCGCAAGGGTTGAGACACAGCACTATAAAGCTGTCTGCAGCCACTGCAGCACGAGTTTGATTCCCAGCCAGGGAGATACCCACATGGTGCAGCAGACCTCTCCTGACTCGCCCACTGCTCCTCTCAGCAGTGTATTTCATCAGTCTGCCTGTTCTGCTCCCCGCTCTGTCTCTGGTGAATCCTCTTACCCCGCCACCCCCATCTCTGGTTTATACCCCAGTTCTTGTATGCATAAATAAAGAAATCTTACCAAAATAAACACTTCTTTAAAAAAACATGTTAAGGAACTCGAAATAGATTTTAAGGAGTAAAATTATAGTACTCAGGTTCTGTCTGAAAGGGGATTCATAACTTAATAAACACCCTCTTTACACAGGCATTATAACAAAAATTAAGCAAAAAATCCTATCAGAAGAACACTGCTGACACAGTCAATAGTGATAAAAGAGGGAAGAATACAAATTGAAGTTAAGTAGCGGTGACATTTCAGTTTCAAGTCTCAAAGAGGTTAAGTGTAAGTTTTTTTAAAAGTGAGAAGGGATAAAATTTTAAAATGCCTCAGTCATTTCCTGAAAAAGCTATCATTAAGATCAACTGTCAACCTCTTACTTATCGGGTCTAAAAATAGAAAACAGGGCCTCCACGGTGGCCCAGCAGTTGAGCACTGGACTGCGAAGCTGCCCGCAGCCTCTGCAGCGCCGGTTCAATCCCCGGCTGCCGGTGAGGGTCCCACATGGCGCGCAGACCTCTCCTGCCTCCCGCTGCTCCCCTCAGCAGTGTACTTTGTCCCTCTGACTGCTCTGCTCTCTCCTCTGGCTCTGGTGAGTTCTCTTACCCTCCGGCGTTTCTGACTGTACCCAGTGCTTGTATAAATAAATAAATGAATAAATCTTTTAAAAATAAATAAATAAATCTTTTTAAAATAAATAAATAAATAAAAATAGAAAACAAAAATAAGCTGAATTAAAAATAAGCACCTTTTGCTTTTTTAGTGTATTGTGTAATTAAAGTTGACTCAATTTGGAATGCTCACTGGCAGAGGTTGCACTGCAAGCACCACTCACAGTTCATGTGAGCCAGCCCCTACATTACCATAAAACAAGTCATTGTAAACACACCTTTCTTTCATTATCTAAGTCACTGCCACATATTCTTGTCACAATTTAAGTGACAATATCTATTTTTATGCATGGCTATTTTAACCTCCATATCCTAAGTAGTTATCAGACAAAAGTATTATAGAAAGTGCTACAGCTGCCAGCAGGAGCATGAGAATAAAGGCAACAGGTTTACACACGAGATCTGATTCCTCTCTCAGCTTCATCTTGAACCACTTGGATTAACATGGTAAAGTTACACTTTCTAAATATTTATTTTTTTCCTTTTCAAAGATAAAACACATTACACAAATTTGAGTCATAGCGGGATATGATCACAACAAAATACTTTGACCAGGCCTCCCCGGTGGTACAGTGGGTTGAGCACCACGCTGTGAAGCTGTCCGCAGCCTCTGCAGCGCAGGTTCGATTCCCAGCCAGCCAGGGAGATACCCACATGGTGCAACAGACCTCTCCTGTCTCACCTGCTGCTCCCCTTAGCAGTGTATTTCAGTAAATCTGCCTGTTCTGCTCCCCAGTCTGTCTCTAGTGAATCCGCTCACCCGCCCGTGCACAAAGTGCAGTTACAAACCTGGCAGAATGGCTTTATTAGGAACAACTGACAACGTGAAGTGCTGACAAGATTTTACAAAGCCTGGAACTCTCTAATGCTATTGATGGAACTGCAGAATAATACCAAGGGGAAACACACTGCGATTCATTTTCTGAGGTCTGTATTACCCTCAGGCTACCCAAGGCATCATAAGAAAACTACAGACCAGTATCACTCAGGAACATACATGGAAAGATTCTTAAGAAACCATTAGCCAGGGCCTCCCTGGTAGCACAAGGGTTGAGACGCAACCTATGAATCAATCCGCAGCCACTGCAGCACAAGTTCGATTCCCAGCCAGCCAGGGAGCAACCCACATGGCGCAGCAGACCTCTCCTGACTTGTCCGCTGCTCCCCTCAGCAGTGTACTTCGGTCCATCTGCCTGTTCTGTTCCCCACTCTGTCTCTGGTGAATCCTCTCACCCCCCACCCCCACACCTCTGGCCTGTACCCTAGCTCTTACATGCATAAATAAATACATAAATCTTAAAAAAAAATGAAACCACTAGCCAATCAAACACAACATCTAAAAGCATTAGACAAGAAAGATTTATACCAAGAATACAAACTTCGTTGAAGACCTGAAAAGAAATTATGTATTATAACATATTCATTAGAAAAAAAAGGGAAAATCTGTATGATCTTAACCTCCATTAGGAGTGACTAAAGGTTACTAAAGGGTTTTGTGACGTTTATATTTTTCCCAAAGTATTTATTTTGTTAACTCTTTCATGCTAAACAAATACTGAGTACCTTTTACATGCAAGGCATTGTACTAGTCATTATTACAGACACAAAACAAATTATCTTATTATCAGTAAAAATAATAGCATGGTCTCCACAAAGGAAGACTGTTAAAAGAACAACCAACTCTGCCTTAGGACTCAGAAAAAAGTCTCATTTCTTTTCTTAAATTGAAGAGGCATGATTTTATTTTATTTATTTTTAAAGATTTATTTATACAAACATTGGGTACAATCAGAAGCACAAGAGGGTGAGAGAATTCACCAGAGCCAGACTGGGGAACAGAACAGGCAGAATGACAATATATACTGCTGAGGGGAGCAGCGGGAGAGACAGGAGAGGTCTGCGTGCCATGTGGGACCCTCACCGGCAGCCAGGGATCGAACCGGCGCTACAGAGGCTGCGGGCAGCTTTGCAGCCCAGAGCTCAACCGCTGCGCCACCAGGGGAGGCCCGAAGAGGCATGATTTTAAACTAGCAATTACAATTAACCCTTTGCACTCTGCTGTCCCCTCTCAGGGGACATTGGTAGCCAATGTCCAGAATGGTTCGGAGTGCAAAGGGTTAAGTTCCATAATAATACATGGAAATAACTTTATAGGAATAATGCATATAGTCTTTCTCTTACCTGACTCTACCTCTCTGCAAAAACCCTTTGAGTATAATGATCTATCGCATACATTATTGAAAACGATGTCTGGGTGGTATATCCCATACCTTGTGGGGAGCGAGAACCCTCTGCCTGAACTTTTCGACAGTCTCTTGACCCATAGAAGACCAAGCGTGGACGAACGCGTCTGCTCTGTCTGCTCTGAGGTGTATGTTTTCTAACTGCTGCTGCAGAGCTGCTGGCTTCATGTTGTGATACACGGCCTGTGGGAGGAAAATCTGATAGTCATACAAAGACCTCAGATGAAAATCAAAGATAAAACTATTTATATTTGCAGATGATGGAAAGCGAAAGAATATTCAGACTTCTACAGCACAAACGCTTGTTTTACAAAAACAACATATACAGCCAATGGTTGGAAGATTCAAGACTAAATGACATAAATTATTCAGACTAACCTTTTCGCCCTGTGGTTTAAGTAGTCCTAACTCCACTTCACTGAAACAGGTCTTTTCTTTAGCTACATACATTGATACCCTAATTGCTTCAATTAAGCATTTTAAAGAAATGTATAATGACTTTCTTGCCTAAGGAACAACCTTTTTTCAAGAACAATTTTCTCAAAACTAACTTCCTCTACCAAATTCCTAGGTGATATAAAAAATCGTAAAAAATCTGTAACATTGGTATCTGTTCTATTTCTTGCATTATTCTGTTACAACTTCCCCATTAGCCCAATGCTGCTCTGTCCTATTTGATCACCCACCAAGGGTGAGTCATCTTTATGATGTGCAGCCTGTCTAAGGCTGTGTGCTGCAATGCCTAGCAGCTTGTTCTCCCAGCCATGTCCGCTCACAAGAATGTTCAGGAAGCTACAGTACTACTGAAACTTTTATTTCACAAGTATCACATTATAACAAAGAGGAATTTCTTGAAAATCTATGTTAAACCCAGCTATGTGTTAGGTTTCCACAAAATACACAAAAATATGCCCCTGACCCCCAAAAATTCAGAATCCAGTGAAGGAGACATAAGTGACACATATGAAATAAGACTAACAAGGTCTCTACTATGATGAGCCAAGGAGAAAGGGAATTCAAATAAAGGGAAGACTGTATGTGTGAGAGGTCAGGGCTGCAGAGAGAGGAGATATTACTTGAATGGGAATTTAAATAATGAATACAATTTAGATGGAAACAAGGGATGTAGGGGGAAGCTGAGTGGGAAGAAATAGTGTAACAAAAGCTCCTCAGATAACTATTTCTTTCCTAAATGTTTCATTTATCATCCTGGTGAAACAATTTCTCCCAAATCACTTAAATAAAATGTGCTCATTTTTCCAACTTATTATACCAAACAACAAATTAAAATCTTTTCTGTCTCAAGTTAATGAAGGCCTGATTTCTACTGTCAAGTACTTTGGCAGGCAACTCGATATGAAAACTGCTTTGTGGAATATAACAATATGGGGGAAAATCATCTATTCAAATATTTTTTTAACTACATTAACTTCTTGATCAAAATATATTCACAGCTTCCACCTGCACACTTTCTTTAGAACACAGAAAGTTATAGACACAATAGCAATACAAATATGTAGTCAACAAACCATGGTTACAAAATTTGGGTTAATAAAAATACCTGTTCTAAAATGAATGATATTGTCTCAAGAACTAGGTGAAGATCTTGTTTCTCTAGAGAAAATGCAGCTTGAAGTTTTTCTTCCTCTTCGTCACTGAAACTGTTCTCAGTCTACAAAACATAAAGCCCACATTCAGGTATTCAAAACTCAGCTAGCAGAAGACCCATTCATTCACATATGAATGAGAACTTGAAAGAAAGAAGCTGATGCATTTGTAAATTTCAATACCTCATAACCATAATACAGTTCTTTTGGAATTTGCCAAAGAAAGTTCATCTTTAAAGAACAGTATTTTAAATTCCACGATTTCCAGGAGGTGGAAAATAACAGCAAATAATATAACAAAAGAATATTTAGAACAAATTAGAAGGTAAAACTCCAAATGTTAACAATAATTAATAGTAATTTCCATCTTCACAAGTCAAAAATAGCTACTGGGTATCTACTATATGCTCCATAGACACACAGTTCATGAAGTCAGGTATAAAATAGACAAATCAGAAAGACTTAAAATCAAATAATTACCAAATTTCTATTTGGAAAAGTTCTATTTGGAAAAGGTAGGGTTTACTTTAAGAACATACAACACAGTATAATTTATAATACCAAGTGCAGGAAATTATAACTTTTCTAGAATTTCAATATTTTCCATAACATATATACTTTTACAAGCAATATATGGAAGATAGCCATCTAACTATAATCTCTGGTTTGTCTCCTTTCTTTCATTTCCAAAATAATCTTCTTGAGCTAAAGATAACTGATTTATCAAATATGAAACATGCACAACTTTAGAACAGTTTTAAAATTACCGTAAATACTAAAAACAACTTTCCCCGCAGCAGCCTCTCCCTAACAGCAATATGGAGAAGACTCAGAAGTTCCATAAGTCTCTGTCTTGGCATCTAGGAGTGATTTTCAACTGCTCTGCTAAAGCAGCACAAAACTCTAAGCAGACGTACTTTTGGTTTCTGAAAGCTAGTTACCAAAATGCCTTGTACCTATTATATGTTCTGTGCCTGACAAAAGCAGGAACCCAATTCAGCCAAAATGTCACTCGCTCACCTCAAGAGCAATGCTGGATTTGAAAGTCCCAAATTTGTGATTAGGATACATCTTCTTGAAGTAATGAGCTATAGTACCAGGTTTTATCAGTGCAAGGAATAAAATAGCATTATCTCTATATAATCACTAAACCACATGATTCTATATATCTGGTTTCTCTTCAGATCACATAAATCTTTCCCTTTCAACCACACATTGCATCAAATCCAATGAACATTTATTTATAATTTAATTTCCAAGTCAGTCAATCTGGTTCCTTTTAATATACACCAAATAAGCTGTTTTGACAAAATTTAAAAAAAAAGTAACTGGAATGTAAAAAATTAAATTTAGTGCTCCCAACATGTACAAAGAGAGTACAACAAAAGGGATGCTCTCAGGATCTTTGAGGACATGATATTAATAAAGTGACGCAGACAAGGGAACATTTACCTCCCCCCATCTACTGGTACATCATCATGCACCCTTAAAAAAAAGGAGACCTTAAAATCTGTCAGCAGAACAGCAAATGGAGAACATAGCTATAAAACAAAGGTACAGACATATATTCAACATCTTGCTCCAATTATGAAGCTGAGAAACATTAAATGGAAGTCCCTCTTTTGGGGGAGCAGCAGTTCAATTTTTTTCTATCTACCAAAAGCAAAGTACAAGATTTGAACATTGAGAAGAAAGTACAGGAGATATACTATTTTTTTATCCTCTCATCTGGGAGAAAAGTAAGTCCCAGACTTACATAATTAGAGATGAAATGTCCAAGAAATGTAAGTTTTAAAGTGGAAAGTGGATGTTGTTTTCTATATATGTCATAAATACATACACAGGTAAAATGGGCAAACACCGCATACAAAGAATAAGATCATGCTATTCAGATTAACATGGAAAGATCTCAGATAAAGCGTTAAGGGAAAAGATGATTCACACAAAAAGAGATGTATACAGTATGATGCCACTTACACAATAACACATCACCCACAGCCTCAACTGCCTGTGCATGCATGTGTGTGCACATCTGTGCACATCTGCATTTATTAGTGCATGAGAAAAGTTCTGGAAAGATAAAAACCCAATTAACAACAAAGGCTACCTCTTGGGAAGTGTGAGGGCTTTATTATACCTGCCAATTTTTTAAAACTCCTCCCTTCAAAAGATGAAGCTGATTTCCCTTCCCTTGAGTGTGAGCCAGACTTGACAGCTTACTTCTACCAAACAGAACACAATGAGAGTGGAGCTATGTGATACCCAAGTCTGGGTCACACAAGGGACAGCACCTCCCTATCCTGGCTCCCTTGCTGTAGCAGTCCCAGATGTCTCCCACCAACATCCTCCAGCAGCTAACTCCTTTGGAAAGAAATCCTCCAGCGCCAGGCCAGCCTGCAGATAATAGCAGCCAAGCAATACCTGACAGCAACTTCTTAAGAAATCCCAAGGTAGGGGCTTCCCCGGTGGCGCAGCGGTTGAGCGCTGGGTTGCGAAGCTTCCCGCAGCCTCTGCAGCGCCAGTTCGATCCCGGCTGCTCCCCGGCCACCCGAGGAGGGTCCCACATGGCGCGCAGACCTCTCCTGCCGCCCACTGCTCCCCTCAGCAGTGTACTTCGGTCCTTCTGCCTGCTCTGCTCCCCGCTCTGGCTCTGGTGAATTCTCTCACCCTCCCGCGCTTCTGACTGTACCCAGTGCTTGTATGAATAAATAAATAAATCTTTAAAAAAAAAAAAAAAGAAAAGAAATCCCAAGGCACAACCACCCAACCCAGCCATTCCTGAATTCTTGATCTACAGGAACTATGAGAGATAATTATTGTTTACTATAGTTTCAACCTGCTAATTTTTGTGTCAATTCAAAATGCAGCAATACAAAGCTAACACAGGAGAGGATTAAAGCGGGAGGAGGGTAAGAGTTAACCCAGGGGGCACTTCAGTGTGTCCACACTGCTTAAATTTTTTAGAACAAAAACTTATTTGTAAACTATATGTGCAATTTAAAATGTTATTAAAATTCTTAATGTAAACACTCTAAGCATGCTGAACTTCAAGGGCACTAAAAAAGTAAATTAAAAGATCCATTCTTGGGGGCCTCCCCTGGTGGTGCAGGCGGTTGAGCACAGCACTGTGAAGCTGTCCGCAGCCTCTGTAGCGTGGGGTCAATCTCAGCCAGCTGGCAAGAATCCCACATGGCGCGGCAGACCTCTCCTGTCTCACCTGCTGCTCCCCTCCGCAGTGTATTTTAATAGATTTGCCTGTTCTGTTCCCCGCTATGTCTCTGGTGAATCCTCTCACCCTCCCGCGCATCTGGCCTATACCCCGCTTCTTGTATGCATGAATAAATAAATCTTTAAAAAAAAAAAAAATCCATTCTTCCAAGTTTTTATTACTTCGGAGGAAAAGCTCATTTTAACATATATGATAGGGAACTAATCTCAAGTCCATACATAGTTGATATCAGGTCACATCTGTCAGAAAATTATAAAGGTCTTCTATAAATGCATATAAATGTAATATACATACATAATCTAAGAAATTATTAATGCAATTATGGCTTTAAAACTCAGAACATAAATTAGAGAGAACTCTGTGATCCAGAGTTCAAGCTGACTCACCGCTCCCCCCGACACGTATATGTGCATGCACTTTAAACTTCTGAAAGAAACGTTCCTAAACTATATGGAACCCATTCTAGATTTGGCTAACAAAGTATTTGGCTTAATTTCTTATGACAAGTCAGGTCATAATTATGAGCACCAGAGTGATATCCTGCAGTATCCTAAAGAACTTCTCGGATATGCTGTTGATTTTTCAGGTCAGGGGAAAAAAAAAAACTCAGATTTCTGTGCTTTTATATTTCTTGTGTCTGATTTTCATAATTTGTCTATTTCATCCATGATCAATTCTTGAAACTGCCTACATGCCTCATCATAGTAGCACCTTAAACCCTCACTTTGCTATATGCAGCCTGCCATGGCCAGGAATCCAGACAGTTGACCCCTCCCAAGTAGACACACTATATAGGTCCATCAATAGGCTTTCTGTGAGGGCCTAAAAGGCTCTTCTGTGACGTGAAGTATTTGAGTTCTCTTTATTGCATGAGTAGTGACAGCTATTTTTAAAACTCAGAAGCCATAAATATTTATGCCTAAGTTCCCAGCTACAGAAGCTAGTCTGACTTCCCAGCGTTCCCAAAGTGCGCTCTGTCAGCACGCGGGATGGGATGATTCTCCAGCAGGACTGCTGTGCACAATCCGAATCCTTTAAAGCTCCTGGGCATTAAGCACCCACAGCATCTTCCACTCATTATAACAACCAAAAAAACATCCCTACATATCTTAATATGCCAGGATGGTCCAGGAAGATGACCAGTTCAGAGGACTTGAAAACCCAGGTTTGGACGGGCACATGTTTCATAAGCTTAGTTTGCCCATGGTTCTTCCTACTAGGTATTCCAAAGAACCAGTCTGGAGAAAAACAGATACCTTCTGCCCTGAGGCAGGCAACCTTAGTTAAATCAAACTGTCAAGTCGGTAACAATTAGAACAGCAAACGCATCCCCAAACTTCTTCACTAATCCACCTACATCAGGTTTCACTGTCCCAAAGGCTCTGCCTGTCTCAAGGCAAAAGCCATAGGACAGATCAAGAGTGCAGAAGAGAAACTGGGCAGATCCTCAATGGCAAGTACAAGCCTTATTTGATAGAGGAGCCCTTATCACAAGAGGAATCCCTCCAAAAGAGAGTTTCCTGAAATGGTTCAGGATATAAATTGCTCCTTCCCTTTCTCTCTCAACAGACAAGTATTCACACACACATCAGCAGTTTCTGCCTTCAGATGCTTCAGCTCTCAACAATCACAACTTCTCACCTCTACTCCCCACTTGTGATGTGTTCAGCGTTCATATGCCTCTGTGCAAGGCTTCCTTACGCTACGATGATACGAGCTTACTCTCACCTCCCGAGGTGACAGAGAGGACAAAAGGAAAGCTATACATCTCAATCTCCCCTCCAAATATTCCATCCTCCCTCAGGCTGGAGACTAAAAGATGTGTATAAGATTCTTGTCGCATTTGGTTTTACCTGTTTAAGAAGGCAGCAAACAGCTCCAGAAACCAAAGCAAAACTTCCATCTTTAGTGACTGCATCATTCACTTTTAGAATGACATATCCAGTATTTTGTGTTCTTTCCTGGGGCTTACTGTAATGGGGTAAAGGGGTAAATTCTGGAACCAAGTGACCTTGGGCAATCCACCTCATTGGCCTCTATCTCAGTTTCCTCATGGATAAATGGATGACAATAGAATCCACTTCCTAAAGCCACTGTAAAGATCAGATGTGCTAATGATACAGAGCCATTGAAACAGCTCCACTCATAGAGGGAACAATGTGACTGTAAATGTAGCCTGTGTTGCTGCTGTTCTTCTTCTTCCTGCCTCTCTCCATATACATCACCAATTCATTACAGGCAGATATTTAGAGGACCTACATTTGTCTGTGTTCCCCAGGGAAGGAAAATACTGACTCCAAGAAGAGTTACATTAAATGTCTATATTAAGTATAGGAAATACAAAGATGAGTAAAACGAGGTATTCAAGGTCAAAGACCCTCTACCCATGAAACAAACACACTGCTACAGCACTAAAGTGAGGTGAGAATGAACAAAGAGTTTTAGAAGCACAGAAGAGAGAGAGTGATGGGAGTGTAATGGTGAACTCCCTGAAGGATGAACAGTTTATTCACTAAAGCAGGAAAGAAGGACATCTGCTGGCAAAGGAAGGAGCATATGCAGACGCAGAGATCAAAATTTCCTCACATATTCTAGTAAAAAAGCACCCAGTCTAGTGTGAACAAAGCAGCTGCAAAGTGTGAAGAACATAGTTTATAGCCACATGACAGTGGTACCAAATGTTATATTATTATAATATGTGAGATGATCTATTATAATATGCAATGCAGATATATTACTATGCCACAATGTTAAAAATATGTAACTTTTCTCCATGGGGCAAAAAAAAAGGAATTGATGATTCTGAACACTAAAGACATGATCAACCTTTTTTTTTAAGATATGTAATTTGGAGAGAGAAATGGAATACCATTGTGAAGAAGTGACAGACAAGGATACTGTATGCAAACATACCAATCTGAGGGTGAGTGTAGAACAAAGAGAGAGAAAATGAGGACCTCCATCAGGGCTGAGAATTTAGATTTGAAAGACAAGTCAGAGGGCTTTTGCAGCTGGCTCCTGACTAGGGGGTGGAAATGCGGAAGTGAGTCCCTGTTTTCATTTAATATGAATTCCTGGCAGCAGACAGAGCAGTCAGTAGGAGCTCTGTAAACGTATTGGAGGGAATTAATATTTTTTAAACTGATAAATGGACTTAGACCGGAGACTAAGCAGTGATTTACTAAACATCAATATGTCCAAAATAACCATGCCCTTAAAATAAAAGTGAACAAGTTAAATGCAAGCTTAAATATTGGCTGACAGCAAAAAATAGAAGAATGAAATCATGCAATCTTCCATGGATTTTCCCATTGTATGTTTCATAGAACTTTAGTCCCAAATTACATTAAGTGATAAAGCAGTTTCAAGGTCAAACACATTTTGGAAAATGTTACACACCATATTCACGCTTAAATATTTCCAATAAACACTGGCATTAAAAAAAAAAAAAAAAACTCTGAAAAATTCCATAGTGAAAGACAATTAATTAGGACAGAGTTTCCAAAACTTTTGATCATGGGACATTATCAAATTTTCCAGAGACCTAGTGTTCCCAAGAATACACTGGAGAGTACTAGACTTCACAAAAAAGTTCTCCAAGTAGAAATACAGTTTCAGTGAAATTAAAAGGAAGTATTACAAAACATAGAAATGCAAAACCACAAACCTTCAGGTGAAGTTTTTGAAGAATTCGGGTGAGCAATCTTGGAAATCTTCCTATATCTATTTCATTTATCAGCGACACTGCTTTCTTCATGCTAAAAAATTCATAAGCCAAATTTTAAAATTAGTTTTCCAAATGAAACTGTACTTGCTATAAATAGTTGTTTATAACTGTGATTGTCTACACAAGTGTTCATTTTAACAACTTTGATTGCTACAAGGTAAGGAGCAGTGAAATAAAGAAAAACAAGACTGCCAGACAAAAAACAATGTCCTTCAAAATAATTCCTGTTGAAAGGCCCACTTGAAAAATGTTCTCTTTCTGTGGGGAAGGCAAAGTAGCAGGGGAAGATTGCACTCTGCAGGAATGAGCAGTAAGTTAGCAATGAGTGTATAAGTATCCACTTAACCCAAAGAGGGACTCTGAAAAGAGTGGAAAGAGGGAAGTGGTAACTAAGGCAATGACACCAGGGGGGGAAAAAAAAAAAAAACACCCAACAAAGAAAAGAAATTTGTAGTGCAGATAATGGACTGAAAAATAACAACACATACAAAAGCATTTAGGATTACTAAATAGAGTTGTTTTAAAGCTCTGCCTCACCTGTAATGATCAATTTTAATTTACCTGATAACAGCCATTCCACTACAACATATTGGATATCATTTATTGATGTAGTGTTACCAGGACACTAGTGTGAGGAAAGGAACTAGCTGTCAGAACTCAAGAAATCCAGGAAGACAGCAAAACTTCAAAATGACAACTGGGCCTCCCTGGTGGTGCAAGGGATTAAGTTTCAGAGCTATTAAGCTACTGCCAGCCACTGTGGCATAAGTTCCATGCCCAGCCAGGGAACTAACCCACATGGCACAGCAGACCTCTCCTGTGTCACCTGCTGCTCCCCTCAGCAGTGTATTTCAGTAGATACACCTGTCCTGCTCCCCAATCTCTCTCTGGTGAATCCTCTCAACTACCCCACACTTCTGGCCTACACCCCAGTTCTTGCATGCACAAATAAAAATAAATCTTCAAAAAAAATGAAATGAAATGAAAACTACCTTTAAGGAGATTCTTGCCCAATTTGGACACAAATAAATTGTTTTCCAACTTCAATTATACTATATACTTCAGCATTTTTTCCATATTCAAATACCACCTGTACTGTTACTTTTCATTAAACTGAGCCATTTTCAAATAAATTTATTTGAAAAAAGAACTTTACATCACCACTAAGGGCAGTCGACATAACTTACAGTAATTAGTTCAACGCAAAATAAAGTGAAAACTAAAGTAAAGCCAGACTCCAAATTATGGTCTCTCCTACCAGCCCCAAACTCCCTGGCCTGGGGTCTACTCTATCAGGATTGAAAAGGGGTATGAACTCCTATGAGATATTAAAGTCCTTCCAGCACCAATGGAGCATTTGTCAGAATCAAAAATTCTGAAAACATAATTGAAAGCGGAAACGGAAGCTCTTTGCACGTGATTCAACACCACGCCCTGCAGGCCCGCGCTCTTGTGATGCTACACTCGGGGGCCAGTGACAGACGTCGCACACCGTCGCGACGACCTCAGCTGCCAGGCGCCCTGTGGCCCCAGGCAGGTGAGCCACCGTGAAGGTGGAGCCGTCGGCGATCCGCGCTCTCCCACTGGAACCTGCGGGCACACACTGCGACCTGGGCCGCTTGGCTCCCACTACTCCCGACCTCGGAGGCCCGCGCCCGCCCCGCCCGGCCTCGCGCTCCTCGGCGCCAAGGCCACGGACGGCAGGGGCGACTTTACGCCCGCCCTGGCCGCGCCATCCTGGGGGCAGCTCCCGCAAGCGCAGCCGCCGGCTACCTGGGGCTCTCCCGCAGGATCGGAGCTGCGGACGCCGCCATCTTCAAAGCTCCCACGCCGGGTCGCTGCGGGTCAGCTGATGTGGGCCCAGCCAATGGGGGCCGAGGTGGACGGGAAGCCGGAAGGGCCAAGCCGCGCAGTGCCGCCCGGACAGCTGAGGGTCCCCCTGCTGGGTGATCCAGGAACTGCAGGAGGCGGTGGCTTCCCCCGGCCTCCCTTTGGGAGTTAATATAAATAAAAAGAAAATTAAAAAATAATATATAAAAGCAAAAAACAAAAAAAAGGCAGTACACGCATCCACTCATGTATACACACATTCATGATATATGTGTACGCATAACTGGATGTGACTGTGTATCTGTGTTGTGTATTATGAACGTTGTACGTGTATAAACATACACTTAAGCGTGTGTACCCATACATGCACTTTCTTTTTCTATCGTATTTCTTAATTGTTTTAAAAAAAAACTATTTTTAGCGTAAATATTCATGTTTCATAGTTTAAGACTAGAGGTCAGTGACAAACTTCCTTGAAGTCAATTTAAAGAAATTCTTCACCATCCAAAACCACTGAGTTTGAGCCCAAGGCCCCACACATGACCCCCAACAAGTGAGGTGCGGCCCACAACATTGGCCTGGACACTGTGTGATCAATCAGGGCTCTGGGTCTTCCCTTAAGCCACATCCCCAGAGCACTGTGCCTGCCATGTGCCAGGCACTGTGCTAAACACAGGATACAAAAGGCCAAAATTCTGCCCTTGCAGTTTGCAGAGTTCGGATGGACAAGTATTTGTTGTGACCTCTTTGGAAGCCAGCACTGCAGACACTGCCATTGAGGATCTCAGAGGGTTTCACAAATACCTTGTTGTACCTTAGACAAAAACATATATAGTGTAGTTAAGGAGGTTCAGAGGTGAGAACAATAATAAGCCATCTGAACAAGGACCAGGAAAGCTTTCTGTGGCAGGGGGCGTGAAGTTTTGAGTGCTGGATGGTGGCATATGTACTTAATTTGGTAGAAAACGGAGTCGGGTCCTCCCTGGTGGCATAAGGAGTTAAGCACAGTACTGTGAAGCTACCTGCAGCCTCTGAAGCACAAGTTCGATCCCTGGCTGGCCAGGGAGCTACCCACATGGCACAGCAGACCTCTCCTGTCTCACCTGCTGCTCCCCTCAGCAGTATATTTCAATAGATCTGCCTGTTCTGCTCCCCACTCTGTCTCTAGTGAATCCTCTCACTTCCACCCTCTGCACCTCTGGCCTGTACCCCAGTTCTTATATGCATAAATAAGTATTTTAAAAAAAAGAAAATAGGGAGTCATTAAACGTTTTTAGGCAAACTGTGTTGAAGATTACATTGGCATGATTACATTAAAAAGAAGCAAAGATGCCAGATAGGAAACGACTGTTATTACATGAAAGTTGTGGGGTGCAATGCCATGACAGGTAGACATTTTCTTGGCCAGTAGAGGACCTTCAAGGGAGAGGGGATGGGAGGAGAGGCGAGATGAGGGAAAGAGAGGGGTATTCATTTCTGTTCTGGATAAAACTGACAGTACATGTGAATGGCCAGCAGAGGGCGGCAAAAACATTCATGCAAATTTTTTCTTTTCTACCCTGCTTTTGGGAAGGTGGATTAAGAACTACAAGGTGCAAGAGACCCTCATCTTTCAAGAATACATGCAAAAATCATATAAAGGATATAATTTCAATGCTCCTAGCTGCCAAGTGCTTTATAAACAATTTTTTTAAGATTTATTCATTTATGCATACAATAACTGGGTACACATCAGAGGTGTGGGGAGTGAGAGGATTCACCAGAGACAGAGTGGGGAACAGAACAGGCAGATTGACAGAAGTACACTTCTGAGGGGAGCAGCCAGTAAGTCAGGAGAGGTCTGCTGTGCCATGTGGGTAGCTCCCTGGCCGGCCGGGGGATCGAACTCATGATGCAGTGGCTGTGGATAGCTTCATAGGTTGTTTCTTAACCCCTTGTGCCACCAGGGAGGCCCTATAAACAAATTTTAAAGATAGATTGGGAATCTGAAGGTGTTCAAAAAATGATCTTCTGTTCCTCTTGAAATCCCTCTCTCCCTCCTTCTTTCTCTTCTCCTTTTGTTTTTCTCACTTCTTTCTGGGACTTGTTTAGCAACACCCCCAAAGCTAGGTAGTTAGTGTTCTCTATCAGTTGACTCAATCTATGGGCAGAGCCACAACTCTCTAGTTCACCTTCAGGGCACACACTGGCTCATACTGGGTAAAGAAGTACTGAAAAGAGGCAATAGGGTCTAAGCTCAGACCTCTTAGACCAGGCCTTAGAGGTATGCTAGGAAGGAGAGGGAACAATTTATTGTAAAAGTTCACTGAAACAAATTTGGGGCAACTAGATACAAGCCTCTCTCCATTTTCTGGACAATACCCTGTTAGCCAGGGTGTTTTGTTGAGAAGCAAGAAAATCCAACTCTGACTAATTTGAGAGGGTTCTTGTTTATAGTCTCCTTTCATTAACTTGTTATTAAAATGGGGGCAGGGCCTCCCCTGTTGGCGCAGGCGGTTAAGCGCAGTGCTGTGAAGCTGTCCGCAGTCTCTGCAGTGCCGGTTCATCCCATCCTGGCCAGCAAGGGTCCCACATGATGCAGCAGACCTCTCCTGTCTCGCCCGCTGCTCCCTTCAGCAGTGTATTTCGTCAGTCTGCCTGTTTTGTTCCCCACTCTGTCTCTGGCGAACCCTCTCACCCTCCCATGCATCTGGCCTGTACCCCGGTTCTTGTAGAAACAAATAAATCTTTTTAAAAAATAAAATAAAATGGGAGCAAATATTTTAAAATTTAAAATGGTGATATTATTTCATAGAAGTTAATGTTCACACATTGGCAATATTAGGCAATAATTTAGATAAAATTCCTAGAAAGATAGAACTCTCCAAAACTGATATGAAAATAAAAAAAATTTTGCAGATGATGTCTTATTAAAAAACCTTCTTATAAATAAGGCCCAAATGTTTTACTGGCAAATTTCCAACAAATGTTTAAGGAAGAAAAATGTCAGAAAGCCTTCCAGGGAAGATCAAAGAGAAAATAATCCTGGACTCCTCTGTGAGTCTAGATGACCTTGATATCAAAGCCCAACAGGGGACTTCCACTTCTGAGAAGATGATGTACAGGTACTTTATGATTCTTTCCACCAAGTGCGGCTAAAATCTCTGGATAGTAAATAAAACAAACACAAAGCAGAGCTAAAGGGTAGAGAGACAGTGGGGAAAACAGGGGGTGGTGCCTTGGACATGCTGTGATAAGTGCTTGGGTTTCCTTTGGATTCTGTATACCCCAGGGTGTATTGTCTTACCCACTGCACCCTCAGCACCTAGTAAAGTGTGTGGTAAGTAAGTGGTGCTAATGAATGAATGGTCAGTAAAAGCCCTATTGAAGGAAAAAGAATTCAAGTCAGTCCTCTGTCTCTTGAATGTATTATGCCTGACCAAGCATTAACTAATTTTAAAAGAACAAAGACAGCCACCCAAAGAGGGAGTGTTTAGGGAAAATCTACTAAAGGTATCGATACAAAATAAACAGCTTACTAGGCCCAAAGAGTAATGAGGAGAGTTGCATCCCTTCCGCAGAATGAAGGAAAATAATATGGGAGAAGCAGAACTTTATAAAATCGGTGAATATGAAAAAAAACATTCCAAATGTAGGTTTAAAAAATAGATTGGGGCAGGGAGGAGATGCTTAGGTGAAATTATATATATGGGCCACTGTCCTAAATAGCCCCAGAACTGTCTTCTGGGTTGTAGACACCATGCAGAATAAAGAAAAAAGTCAAAGGGAAAGAAACAATATGTAAGGATTTTCTTCTAATAATTTTGTACAGGAATACAAGCTCAGCTAAAGCACTTAATGTCAGCACCTACCAAGTGTGAATAAATGTTAATCAAGAATCCAGTTGATTTATAATGATGCACAGCTGAAACGTATGTAATCTTACAATACAGTATTACTTTAATAAAAATTTTAAAAATAATCCATGTATCTAATGACCGCAGTTGCAATGCCTAGAGTTCAACTCTAGGGGGTGATGTTGGCATCGTAGGTATGTGAAAAGCACCTTCTGAACAGGCAGCAAAGAGCCCAAATGTTTCAAATCACCAAGGCACTATAAAACTACAATCTATGACACCCACAAAACATCCAAGTCAACATTGTTCACTTTTCAGAAAAGCAAGTAAACACAAAGAAGAGGTGAGATGATTTTTCTGTGAATAACATTCCAGAGACTCTACCTGCAATGAACCCAGGATGCTGTATCCAGGGAAGGGGGAGCTGTGGGATCGCCTTAGACACAGTATGGATAGTTTTAAGCTCTTACCAATTAGACACAAAGTTATTGTGCAAACTGATGTGATATGGCATTCCAGCGGTAAATCCTTACGTAAATGGTCATAGGCAACTTGTGTAAAATTCTCCATGCATAACAGCTTATATTTAAATGACCTTTTGTGAAAGAGCTTTTCTTACCATTACTTTACATATTCATGAAGACACAACATCAGTATTGAAAGATAGCCATGCAGAAAGAGAAAAAACCTATTACGGCTGACAGGACAATTTCCTTAGTTAATGTAATCAGATAACCCAGCTATGTTCCTGGTTAATATGAATTTGGTTCAAATAACTAAAGACCTTTATTCATTTGTGATAAAATTAGATACTTGCAGAATGAATTTCTGACAATTCACACAAATCATTTTTGCAATGATCATTTAGTGCAGGAGGTTTTTTTAAAAAGGCATTGAATTGCCATTAGATAAAGATGAAACAACCTGATTTCAAGAAAAAAGGAATTCATCAGATGTTTTACAAGTCTTTCATAAAATCTGGATGAGCTGTCTGCTTAGTAATTATGCAGTTTTTAATTTTATTTTTCACTTTACTTGAAAACTCACCAACATAATTTGCCAACACACTTTTTATTTATTTATTTTTTAAGATTTATTTATTTATGCATACAAGAACTGGGATGTAAGCCAGAGGTGCAGGGGAGGGGAGTATGTGTGTGAGAGGATTCACCAGAGACAGAGCAGGGAGCA